AATGTTAACGATGTTAATAACATTGATCATTCGTCAATCTTTTGTGACGCAGTAGGATTGACTTCATATGGTATCAACGTCTTCTAGTAGGACCATGTTCTAACTCTCCTGGTTTAAGAAGATATCTTACTAAATCATAATAGAATAAACAAGGTTCATTATATCCAATAGGTCTTCTATATTTTATAGCTGGCTTAGCAATTATTTTCTCCCTATTAAGTGCTCTTTCTACCGCCTTATTAGGATACATATCTATTAACTGAGTAAGAATATTATTAAATATGTCATCATTAACATGAAGACTTCTAACCTAATCTCTAGAACAATTTGATAAAGGTAATAGAAAATCCATAGCATCTTGCTGAATACCAGAATGTTTTTCAAATTTTTTATGATTACATTCAGCTATAGCATTACCTTTCTTGGTTTTGACATATTGTATTTTTACATCATGTTTAAGCAATAAACTCTTACAATCCCCTATATATTCTGTCTCCTTATCGGAATTAAAACAATTCAGCCAAGAGAGAGGCTCCTTAGGATCATCATAAAATTTTGAATATTCTTAGCTATTTGTGCAGAAGATTTATCAGTAAATGCAAAACTATGATGATACCTAGTTGCAACATCTTTAATACCACCCCTATACTTGTAAATCTGATTACCTACTTTATCATGAAGCATAGGGGTAGTATCAAATTGGTATACTTTATTTAAAAATTGTATATTATTAAAGGAAGCATACTGAATAAATCTAGGACGAGGTTTATGTATCTAATGCACAGCCTATCTATCAAGCCAGTCAGGTACCTTATCAAGTAAAAAATCATACTCAACCTTTTTAGAGGCTTCATGCAATTTTTTCGCAGTCTTCTAATAGCCTGAAAGATAATAATAAATCTTCTGCAAAGTAATAGAAATATCAAGTTTTCGAGCTTCACCCGAATCTATTTGAATAATAGGAATCAACATAGATCCAGCTTATATCGAAATTCTAGATACTAATAAAGAGTTGCGCAAAGAATTAGAGGATAAAATAAGTGAAAGTAAACTTAAGAATAAAAAGCTAAAATCACTTTCTAGGGAGTTAGAAAACTGTTATAAGACATTATCTCACCAGGATTCAACAATATTAGCTTACGAAGATGAGATAGCATCTCTTAAAACCGAGATAAAATCTCTTAAATAGCGTCTTCACAAAGCATTACAGGATTTAAGGCATAAAGGTAATGCAAGTACTGCTCAAAATATCCATATTTTAAGGCTAAAAGACATGGTTGAATAGCTTAAAAAGTGAATTAGGAAGATTACAGATAAAAAATTATCCCAAATAAATAGTTCACCAATAACACTACCAGATATCTTAAGAAATATTGGGACAGCTTTAGATTGGATTGAAGGATATATCAATGGCAATATATCATTTAACCCAAGAAATACTCTGAACGGAATACGGATCTCAATAATAACTATCTGAAGGCATATGCAAAGGCATGCTCAGGACAATGTTAACTTACAAGGTTTGCTCAATGCATCTAATAGGCAGATCAATAGGATTATGAACGATATGACAAATCTTAGAAATGATTGTCTTTGAAGGGCGTGAATGATGAAACAAGCATGAAGGGATGAAAGACAAGCCCGACAACAAAGAGATGATAAAATCAATAATCTTAGAGATACGGTATGTGAAAATGTTTATGAAAAATGTTGGTAGAAAAGAAGATACACTGCATATACTCAACAGGTTTAGAATTTAAAAAGATATTATCGTCAAAGCAGAAATGATATAGGATTATTAGAATATAATCAGGATCGAGTATATGATCGATATGAAAAATGGAAGCAAAAAGAAATAAATTCACAGCAAATTATTTTGAATTTACAAAACAATCCACTTGGAAATATGGCTATCTTACCAGAAGTTTTAAATGTAATAGCCCCACTTTTAGCTCAAATACTGCAATATAATGGCCAAAAGTTACCAGATGACTATTATAATAAGGTTATGCAAGCAATTAATTATGGCAATTCATTAGGAGTGGTAGCCTTTAATGATGCTGTGAAAACTAATGTATTAGTAGAAAAAATGGCGGGAAAGTTTACTCCTCCTAATCCATTTAATAATAATGCAGGAAATGCGGTCAATACTTCAGCTTTATTTATAGCATGGTTTCGAAAAACATATCATGCAATAAAACTAGGTTCAGTACAGGCTTCTATGAAAGCGCTTATATCTGATAAATTTCTTTCTATTGATATTCCAGAAACATATGAAAAATGGATTAGACCATGTGTAGATGCTTTACTATTTGCAGATGCTTTACCTATTCTTTATAGTCATTTACCTGAAAATTTAGAATTACGGATTAAAATTGAAAATCTAGCAGATCTTAATACCTTTTTTATTCAACTTAATGATAAATGGTTAGAAACTGATGGACGTATAAGTGTTTTCTCCTTCAATGAAGAAACTCTATCATATTCATCTCTACAAAAAAATTCACAAGCTGAGCATGATTTTATAGTTCATCTTGCAAAGGATTTGGATTATTTAGGTATAGCAACAGATCTCTCAGTCTTAGGACCACATATCTATGATGAA